CAACCATACGGAAATAATGTTTCGAGATCGAGACTCACCCGAACTGTGATTACTCGGATTATGCGAATACTTGCGACAATTGAATTTATTCTGTTATTTTTTATTGTACTAATGTCTGAAGAGGGCTCAAACTGGTAGCCGAAACTTGTTACTTGTAATGTATTAGTTTAGAGTTTTATTATTTATTATTTTTTGGCGTGATGTTTCATCGCGTTTAATACAATATATAATTTTATGAAAAAATTAAAAAATGTGGTTGACTCTTACTTCGCCCGCTGATTGAGTTTTGTTATTATGTTTTGAAAGAGTCCTTTGAAATTTGTTTATTTATTATAATAAATGATGTGCAACATATCTTAAAAATTTATGTTGAATAAATATTTTATATTTTTCTTGATTAATGACAATTTTTTATGATGTTTATACTTAATTTTTTGTTTTTTACGATTAAAAAATCAAACACAATTTTTTTGCCACAAATTTTTATTTTTATTACCAAACCGTTTTAATATTACCGCTTTATAAAAACATATACATATTCAAACTTTCACTTTTGAAATCTTAAGCTATAATCTTTAGCTATAATCGTCAATAAATTCTATATAAATAGCATGTATATCACATCTTAATTAGAAGTAATATTAAAAATTTTATTTCTTATAATAAGACGTCTTACAGAATTAATACAGTTGGAAATATGTGCAAAACTAACTATCATGATCAAGGATAACACATTACATATCAAATGTAAAGGATTTTTTTGATATGTTTAATTTGATATGTAAAATCCTTTATATGTGCCTTTATATCCTTTATATCATCCTATAAATGATGAAATCTTTTTTTTTTAAATTACATTTTCTTGTATAATATTTTATAACTTAATTTGCATTACTTCATAGATTTGTAAGAGCAATATTTGTATTACCGATATCATTGATATTGTCTTTTTTGCAGATACTATTTTATTAGCTGATTTCTCTAACATTTTTATGTCTACAGGCATTTTTTTTACGCAACAACTATCATTATGAATAACATGGTTCAATTTTTTTATGCTTTCTAATTTTACAGATTCGTCTCATTTGCAAAATAAATTTGGTATCGCACTTTTCCTCATAATTTTTTGCTACCAACGCTGAATAATTTTGATAAATAGAAATGAATCTAAAAAATAAGAGGTACATGTTTCAGAAAAATATCTATTCCACCAACTGTAGGACCAATCTGTCCCATTAACATCAATATATAATATTAGAATTTTTTACGCAACTACATAATCGTTACATACACTCGCATTATCGTTATTAAATTTAATACGTAGGCTATTGGAAAAGTTTCTGCAATCTAGTACTTTCAGTGACGCCAACGTTCTGCTACTATCATATCCGTAAAATTAGACGTTTTTAACCTAATTCAATTGACAGTTTGTATCCAAATCAACTAGTTTTGTTTGCATAATATTTTAAAAGAAGTTATTTTGTAAGAAATTGGAAATTTCGCGTGAAAATTTTCGGGCAATGATTTTTTACGATTACAAATGTAATCTAACTCCGAAACAATACATCGATCGACTCCATTTGGCTTTTGGAGATGAAGCACCATCCAATAGGACTGTATTATTTATAATTGGTTTGCCGAATTCCAGCGTAGACGTACCTTTCTTAGTGATGAAAGTCGTCCATCCACGTCTGTTGTTGCCACTAATGTTGATGCTGTGCGTGAAATGATTGAGCGAAACCGGCATATAACATACCGCAAGATTCAGGCATCCTTAGGCATTGACATGAAAGCAATACATACGATTTTGCATGATCACTTGAGCGTACGGAAATTTTGCAGTCGTTGAATCCCACACAATTTGACCGAAGCTCGAAAACAGATTCGTGTTAAATGGAGCAAAGAAATGCTCAAGAAATTCAATCGAGGTCGGTCAAATTTAGTCTACAACATCGTTACTGGGGACGAAACATGGATCTATTCGTATGAGCCCGAAAGTAAACAACAATCCACTGTAGGTATTTCAAAATGAACCGAAACCAACAAAAGTTGTTTGTTCACGCAGTGCTGCTAAGCAAATGATTGTTCTTGTTTCTTCGGTTATACCGGACATGTGACAACCGTGGCTTTAGAGGATCGAAGGACTGTAATACTGATTGGTATACAACAATTTGTTTGCCAGAAGTCATAAATTGCGTAGAACAAACCGAAATCTTTGCATCATCCTTCATCATGACAACGCCAGCTATCACACAGCACGTCAAACTGTTGATTTTTTATCCAGTAATAATGTCAAATTGATGACTCATTGTCCGTATTCACCTGATTTATCACTAATGACTTCTTTTTGTTCCCAAACATTAAAAATAAGATGCGTGGTGAGCGATTTGAGTCGCCTGAAGCAGCTGTTGAAACATTTCGTACACTGATTTCTGAGGTTACAGCCTTAAAGTGGAAAAAATGCTTCGAAAATTGGTTCGAGCGTATGCAAGAATGTATCGATCTTAAAGGCGAATATTTCGAAACACAATAAAATCATTTACCGAATTTTACATGTTTTTTTTCATATTGTGTGCAGAAACTTTTCCAGCAGCCTATGTATATTGATACTGAGAAATTATATCATTGATGTTATTTTTGTTGGTGTTTACGGGAGTTACATTATAAAACATTTGTATGCACGCTTCGATACCAATCTCACAGTGAAGCTGATTTTGAAGGTTTCCAATCAGGAATTCCGACAGCATCAATTAATTTTTGTCTCGAGTTTGCATCTTGAGCAAATGTTGTGCAGCAATATCCTTCTTTATTAGTTTGTACATCTTGGAGCATTCCATCTGGTAGACATTTTATAATATGCACAAATTCTGTTCAGTTATCTGAAATGTAAAAAAATTCTTAGTGTTATTTTATGCATATATGTACACTAAGGAGCAAAAATAGGCTCGTTTTTCGATGTAATGCATACATACGTTGGCGGCGCACTCATCTATACCAACATATGTATGTACGAGGGTCGTTTGAAAAGTCCGTGCAAAGTCACTGCTGATGGCACTACTGGCGCGTATCAAGGTTAGATTTAGTTAGTAGCATCTCTTGGAGGAACACACACCAAGTTACAGCCAGATCGGTCTATTTGTTTGTGTTTGGCATTCATTTGAATCGAGGAAGTCGAGGGGGGTTTGTTTCTGCAATCACGTCCTCGTTTCCATAAAATCTTTTTCCCGCCAGCCATTTCTTCATATTGGGGAACAAATAGTAGTCCGAAGGAGCCAAGTCTGGAGAATAGGGGGGATGTGAGACGAGTTGGAACCCTAATTCCATTAATTTTGCGACCACAACTGCTGAGGTGTGAGCTGGTGCGTTATTGAAAATCACTCGACTTCCTCGATTCAAATGAATGCCAAACACAAACAAATAGACCGATCTGGCTGTAACTTGGTGTGTGTTCCTCCAAGAGATGCTACTAACTAAATCTAACCTTGATACGCGCCAGTAGTGCCATCAGCAGTGACTTTGCACGGACTTTTCAAACGACCCTCGTATGACACCAAAGTACAAGCTCATTTTTGCTCCTCATTGTACAAGGAAAATATATATTTCCAAGATTAATAATATGTATCACTTATAAAGATCTTATTGTAGTCGTTATCACTGGATATAGGAAGCGCTGCTATAGTATTTTCTATTTTTTCCAAGTGACACTGTGTGAGATGGCGTGATGAGCGTAAGCGAAGAGGGAACGGCTCTTCCGACCATTGTCGGAAATGGCGGTGCCAAGGAGCGAGTATTATTTCATACAGCAAATATAATAAGTATATAATAGACTTGGTTCTGCCTACTTCTGTTGTCACGAGACCTTTCCTAATCATGCAAATATTACATTGGCGACGAGGATAATTGGTGGTCGTTGTAAAGTAGGAGGAAGTCGTAGTAAAGGAATTTAGCGTGTGGAACGAAAGTAACAAAGTTATTCGCAGTCACAGGGATA